TTTTCTTGGAAAAAGATAAATCTGAAAAGAGGGCTAATTTGAAAGGTTTGTAAGGAAAAAAAATGGTTAAGTTGATAATTTTGTTTTACAAAGTCAAATTCAACAGTAAAACCAAGAAAATCTTTACAAAAGCACATATTCTAATAAAATGCCTTAAAACAAGCAGTATATGTAAAACTATTTTAGAAAGAAATTTCAGTTTCATATAAATGAGAAAGACTGTGTATCAAACAGTATATTTGTTTTGTAAAAATTAAATGACTGGAATAAAGGACAAAAGTTGGTTTTTGAAAAATATATAAATATAAAGGAGGCCTTCTGGAAACAAAGGATTGTACCAGTGGTGGGATTCAATTTTTTTTACTACTGGTTCTGTGGGTGTGGCAGGCAAGGGTACTGCAAAATCCCTAATACCTCCCCACCCCACTAACCTGCTTTCTAGCTCTGTTCTCCTGTTTAAGGCAACAAAAGAAGATCAGCTGGGAGGCAGTGGGGATGGGGCCAGTCTATTTGCCAGTTCTCCAAACTAGTCAAGATTTCTGCTACCGGTTCGCAAGAACCTGTCAGAACTGGTTGAATACAACCTCTGGATTGTACTTTATAATTAATAGGATCACTCTACCCTAGAAGGAAAGTAATCAGCAGATTGTAATGGAAACTTCAGGATAATGTGACTGGACAAAGTAATCAAGGTTGTTGTTGGGATAATTTAAGGAGAGGGCATAATTACACCACCATACAAAGCAAAGGTGAGTAGAAATCAAATAAATAATAATAATATTCCATTCATTGTGTAATTACCATTAATGTAATATTCAGCTATGTGATACCATGCAGTTCTCTGGAAGTCAGGAGGGATTGGCCTCCAGCTCAAAGAATTAAAATTTAGATTCCATTTATTTTTACAAAATTTAAAATATGTGTAAATAAGGCTTCATTTTCTGATGCCATGTAAAGGAAATATTCTTTGCCCAATAGAATAGGTAATCATTTTAGAGTAATACTCCTGAAGAACTAAGTCTAATTGTTTTAAAGTAATACTCCTGAAGGACTAAGGCTCATTAAAATGGTTTTAGGAAAATGATTGTAGCAATTAAAGAAAAACAACCAGATAACTATTTCTCCAACATGTTGTTATGGAAACTGAGCGAAATAACTGGATGCAACCACAGCTATAATTATAAAACAACCCAGAATTTCACTCACTGGTGCTGTAAATCCAGCCCCAGATGTTCTCCTGTGTCCGTGCTGAGACAACCGGCGCCTTGCCCAAAACCAATTCCTTTGGGGCCATATTTCCTCCCATAACACGTTTTGCAGTAGATTTCAGATTCATGAGCCGCTACTGTTGTGCTGTCCAGAGCTTTTCGGCAACCCACTAAGAAAGAAAGACGAAAACACATGTTATGGTCCTGATCTGCAAACAGAGACACTTGAATTTTACCATTCTGCATTGGAAGTTTGAAAATGAAGATACGAAAAGTTTCCCTACATAATAATCAAAGGCAATATAAACTAGTTTCATCTACTGTTAGAGAAATGAGAAGCAATCATGGGTCTAGAAAAACTAGGATGGAAAATACTGTTTCCCTCACCATTACAGCCCTTGAGAAGGGTATCATACAAAGAAGAATAAAAGCTAGAATTCATTGATGGTGACAAGGATAGCAAGCTTTGAGTTCAGAAAGTCTTAAGGTCTGTTTCTGTAGAGTTGATCTTATGCACTTGAGTGCTTTGTTGCAACTTTAAGCCATGCCTAGCTGCACATAGATTTATAACTAAATAGCATTACAGAAATGCTATTAAATCTCTGGTGATACTTTTCTCCAAAGGAAACTAAATCTGGGTGCCCACTGGACCTGGATCTTCTACAAAGCTCAGGAAAATTAAGTTTGCCTATTTGAGGAGAACATTTCCCAAATGAAAACACACTTTGAGCAAGTGTGGCATTATAATAAAGATTATGCATGGGACAGCTTCTCTTTCATATCCCGCACCAGCCATAAACCATGTCTGCCTATCCAGCTTTGAAGTGAAGGTCATGACGAATTCCGACCTTATAAAACACCATTACAAAGTTCCTTAAGATTATGTGAAGTGCTTTGAATACTTATAGATCCTTTGAAGTCTAATGCAAATTAAGCTTTATTTGTATTTTTGGCAATGTATATTTACAGGCTACGTCTGGGTCACAATTGTGGGAAATAATGCTTTTCTGAATTCCACCATTATCCCCATGGAACAAAAATAAGATTTATTCTGACATATTGCAATAGTATTGCTAACTATATGACTATAACATCCTTCGCTTACAAAATTAACAAAAGCCACTGCAAATGTTTCGTATTTGTCTTAAGGATAGGAAGGCAGATATTCACAGATGTTACAAATACATTTTCTCCAGTGCATTAAGATCACAAATGAAAGTTGATTATTGAAGTGAATCGGGACAGATAAAATTGAGCTCTCTGAAGAAATAACGTTGTGATTTTGTGAATTTCCTCCTTGACAATTTTGCATTCTCATCTGGGAAGAAAAGATAATGGCGTTTGCTCTGTGAATTGTTAAGGGATGGCTCCACCAGCAGATAAAGTGCTTCTATTTCTGGTCTCTTTGGAATAGAGGGTCTGTGCTGCAACAGATGGCTCCAAAGCCTTGCTGGCTGAGAAGACTCATCTGTCAGAAAGTAGTTTGAAGTTGACAAATTGTGATTGAGCCACACAGCCACCACAGATGCCCTTTAAGTCACAACTGACTTGGACAAATCAGAGGTGTTAATGACAGCAAGTCACATCATAAGGGGTAGAATCCCCAACACACACACACACAGGAGAGGCTGTGTTGTCTGCCAGCATTGTTCCACAAAATTAATGACTGAAGGCCATTTATTATTTATATGACTTTCCTACTAATTATACTTCAAGCTGTGTGAACACCATAAAATCATCTAACAATTTAAACAACAAACTAGCTCACAAACATTTGCTACAGGAAATAATGTAAACATATAATGCAACCAACCAAGCAACCTTGATGCCTTTTATGCAGAAGTATGGTCTATTAAGTTTAATAAGAATTTAACTCCCAGATAATGAGGATGCAGTTGCAGTCTAAAAGTCTCTACAATAAAGCCTAATGTTGCACATTAAAAGCCATTGTACAAAATACTTCTTTTTGGTATATCTAACACACAGACAGAAAGGGGGAGGCTGTCTTGCTCTCAGCTGTCAACTCAAAGAAGGTATTAAGGAAAGAAATCAGATCTACAGCCATCCATTGGGTGTGAACCGTAGATAGACCATTATTTTGAGAAAACCAATTACTGATCATGGACTTAAGAGACAGGAAGCTTTTCTTAATGTTTCACCATAAATCCACTCTCTTGTACTTTAAAACCATTTCCCCTTGTTCTAGCCACTAGGATGTCAGTTTCAATTATATGAAAGGAGACGTTGTGTTGAACATTAAAGAAAATGACCACTTTTCTATAAAGATTGGAAAGAATATAGTGCAGGTTCTGGTCCCTCCAACCCCTTCTTTGGCTTGCTAAATTATTCTTTTATCAAAGTCGACCCTGTTCTCCAATTGATTTGATGCTCATTTTTATTTGATATGCAACATCTGGATTCTTCATAGATCCTAGCACAGACTGACTGAAAGGTATTTTACCAGTTATGCTGTCATATAATTTATGTCAGTGTTGATTATTCAGTCTCCTTATTCTTCTTCATTCTTCCCAAAACACTGATTATTTTTTCAACAGTCAAAACCTACTCTTAACATGGATAGAGACATCTAACCAATTACCAGACCCATGAACGAAAAGAACATCTATTTTCTATCAGTGTAATTTACAATCTTTCTTGTGGCAAGACATTCATTGGTCTTTCAAATGAGGAAGGCCGGGAGAAAAACAATATTAATGGTACTGAAAATCAAAATTAAGTACATATAGGATGTTTACATCCATGCATCTAATAATATTTGTAAGCTGTCTTGAGACACCTCTAGGCAAGATGGGCAACATATAAATTGAATAAATAAATATTTCTTTTGTCATATTAAAATTAGTGTTTGATGTAAATTTTTGGAGGAGCTCTGGAGGACTCATCCCGGATCTGAGAGAGCTACAACGTAGAACTTCTAGTTGACTGGAATAGTGAATACAAGCTTGTTTCTCCCAGAAGGAATCTTTATGTTATCCAACGTAACACTATTCATAAACACAACAGAGATCTCAGTATAGAACTATCACATATACAGTATGTCACATATTTTTTCTCCCGGAGGATTTTAAGCAAAGAGTTACTATTACAAAGTCGTAGCAATGGATGTTCTACATTAGTAGAAAATTGGACCAGAGTACCTTGAAGGCTATTCCCCATGCGACAATCAGAGTCACACATCATGCTATGTCATAATATTGCTTATTTTTTTATTTACTTTTTATTTTCTTGCTTGCTTATTTGTTTGTTTTCAATTTCTGTAGCCATCCATCTCAATCAATGACTCTGTGCCAATCAATTCTGGCTTATGTTGTATGGTGCCAAAAATTGTGACTAATAAAGGAATTTATAGCTAATTTTATGACATAGCATGATGTGTGACTCCGATTGTAGCATGGGAAATAGCCTTCAAGGTACTCTGGTCCAATTTTCTACTAATGTAGAACATCCATTGCTACGACTTTGTAATAGTAACTTTTTGCTTAAAATCCTCCGGGAGAAAACATATGTG